AATGGATGTCAAGTTGAAAGCCCAGATGGTTCAAAAGCAGGATGACCATTTTTCTTACGATTGCATAGTTCATAACACAGAGGCTTTGGATCACGGGTCATGTAAGGTCACTCCTGAGACCAATACAAACAGAAATGGCTAGAGAAATAAGATAGATGCGGAACACCGTAAGTGTTTAAAGTTCAACACAGTAGAAAAGGGCTTGTAGGCTTTAAACTGGTTTGTCACGAAAGACGATCCTTTTAGAGTCTCTGAACTAGAACAAGATTAACAAGTAATGTAAAAAGTAGAGTATGCCCACACAGTCCAAAATTAGAGAACTACCTGGTGCATTTGCTCCACAGAGAGCTCTGCGTGAGAATAAAATCTGAGGTTTTTCATATATATATATATTTTTTTTTTTTTTTTTTTGAGGCAGAATATTACTCTGTCACCCAGGCTGGAGTGTAGTGGTGCCATCTCGGCTCACTGCAACCCCCACCTCCCAGGTTCAAACGATTCTCCTGCCTCCACCTCCTGAGTAGCTGGGATTACAGATGCCCACCACCATGCCCACCTAATTTTTTGTATTTTTAGTAGAGATGGGGGTTCGACATGTTGGCCAGGCTGACCTCAAGTGACCCACCCACTTTGGCCTCCCAAAGTGCTGGGATTACAGGGATGAGCCACCAAAAATCTAAGGCTGTTCTTGATCGATTTGGGAATATAATCATTTTCTGTTTTGACACTGGAATCAACCATGATATCTTGGTCTCAAATCTCAACTGTCTTATTCAGGATCGCCTCTTTATTCTGAAGTCCAACTAAACAGGTGGAAAGATGGAGAATTGCTGCACATCACGATGAGATGGTGTTACACCTTTGCATTTGTCCCTGGAAGAGACAGGAGGGCACACAGCGACATGGCCAATCTCGGTTGTCTGTGCTTCTCAATTTCCCCATGGCAGGACACACTAGCCTGGTGACCTTCTCCACAGCAGCAGTTCCTTCCATTGGGGAAGCCAGGGAACCTTGGAGGGCCTGCAAGAACATTCCCTCACACACCCCAAATCCTCATGTACACCGTTTCCCATACAATTTCAGGTGGCTTCTGACATTTCTCGCATCTTGAGCTTAGATGACTGCCAGGCCCCAGTCTCAGTGGATGGAAACTCTCAGCCATCAAGCATAAAATTACCCTGCTCAGGAAGTCCCTGGGGAGCCCAAAGGAGACAAAGTCGAGGCACAGGGAGAGGCCTCTGAGTGTTGCTATGACTGGAGTAAGAAGCACAGGCAGAAACCACACAGCATCACAGATCCCTTCAGACCAACTCTCCCACTCAACAAACTAGGAGGCCACCAGCAGGTCCAGGGAACGCCTGAACCACATGGCAGACCCGGGCCTCTGAGTGGCCTGCCCAGAGCACTCTGCACCCTTCCATACATGTGGACATGCAAGGGTGATGCTGGAGGCCAGAGGACAGCAAACAGCATTTCTTCCTTCTCCAGTGCCATTTGTAACCATTGAGAAAGGAGGCAACTGGACACCCACTACATGGAGACCATAATGGCCCCTTCATGACTGACGAGTTGGTGTGAGGGTGTGGTTCTACGTGTGAGTCCCAGGGTCCTGGGAGGAAATCAGGGGTTCACACAGCCTGGGTGCCCAGCTAGGGCTATGGGAAGAAAGAGGGGAACAACCTTCAGTGCTTTCAGGTTGTTCAGAGATTAGCTGCACCCTCTCGGAGAGGGAGGTCAGTGGCCCACTGGGCAACTCACTCTTTCACTGCAGAGGAAGAAGGGGAAAGGAATGTCCCCGGAGCAGAGATCTCTGCACCTGGAAACGTAAAGGCAGGTGTAAAGTGCACGGGCATTTGAGTTATGTCTCTGACTCCCAGGGCTGACCGCAGCTTCTTATCATGCCAGTACATGACAGCAGTCACACCTGGCGAGGGAGGGTTGCACCATCTCATGAGGATCCATGTGATAGCGTGCCTAGCTTACATACATGGGAAACCTAGTACCACGTGCACATAAGCAGGCACAGCACACACTAATCATACCTGGGATCAACATTGGGTCAGCTGGTATAAAAACACTTAACTTTCATAATTCAATGATGCTGTTCTGGCAGGTTGCTGGTCTCTCCTCATGCTTCAGATCCAGTCTCTGACCGGACACTAAGCCCTCACTCAGACACGTGCTCTTGCATGAGATTCATTTGGCAGTGATGGTGCCTGCGGTCACCAGGAGAGGTGCTTCCTGGTGCGGACACCCAGAGGGTGCCTCAGGGACCACTGAGGCAGACTCACACCTAGATGTCAGGGCCACAGCCTTCCATGCCTCGCCCATAGAACTCTGCGTATGACCAACAAGTGCATGAAAAGTACTCAATATCACTGATCACCAGAGAGATGCAAATTAAAACCACAGTGAGATGCCACCTTACACTGGTCAGAATGGCTGGCTATTATCAAAAGGTCAAAGAAAAAATAGATGTTGGTGTGGACGTGGAGAAAATGGAATGCTTAAACACTGTCGTTGGGACTATAAGTTAGTACAATCTCTATGGAAAACGTTACGGAGATTTCTCAAAGAGCTGAAAACAGAACTACCATTTGACTCAGCAAACCCGCCACAGGGTATCTGCTCCCCTCAAAAAAGAAATCATTATATCAGAAACATAGATTATTGCAACACCATTCACAATTGCAAAGATACGAAACCAACCTAAATGTCCATAAGCCAATGACTGGATAAAGAAAATGTGGTACATATATACCACGGCATACTACACAGCCATGAAAAAGAACAAAATTACATCTTTTGCAGCAACACAAATGGAACTAGAGGCATTAAGTGAAATAATTCAGAAACAGAAAGCTGCATCCCACGTATTTTCACTTATAAGTAGGAGCTAAATAATGTATACATATGGACATTGATTGTGGAATTATAGCCATTGGTGCTCCATTAGGTAATTTCTCCTCCTTCACTTCACTCCCACCCACCCACTTTCCCGAGTCTCCACTGGCCATTATGCTCAGCCATTTTAGTGTAACTATTATCCAGATAGTGTATATGTCCATTGGAAATTACCTAACGCACACGTGCACCATTTGGATGAAACTTACACTCAAAGTCCAGGCAATACACCCATGTAACGAAACTGCAATTGTACCCCCAAATCTAAAAAAATAAAAATATACAAAAATATTTTCAAAGAACTCTGTGTGTGAGACTGAGAGAGGTGTGTATCCATAAGAAGCCCTAATTGAGATAGATTTAATAGTTATGCCTTAGATAATCTTCTGCTTATCAAGTAATTGTGCTACAAATAAAAGCACCTTGAGCAGGTCTCCGCTAGTTGGTTTCTCCGTTCTCATATCTACTCCACTGGAGTAAAAGTACTGAGGTGCAGTATTGGACTTTGTATTAATTACATTTTCTTATTTTCTGTGTTCTTGATTCTTTAGCATTTGGGGCCTTGCTAACCTGGAGACACTGTCCCTCCCAGAGTTTGCTCTCCTAGAGAAAACAAGTAGCTCACCCAGGTTCACGCCTTTCAAACAGAAAGAAAGCAATCCAGAGCCCATTCCCACCACCTCCTCTATGTGGCTCTTACACTCTGTCTCCTGTCCCCCTGCTCTGGTCACCCAAGGCTGGGGGCAAGACAACTAGGAACAATTCCCAAGTCCCAGAGCCCACTGTAATGATTTAAACCAGCCAATGCTAAACCTGCTCCCCCATTCCTTCCCAGAACAGCACAGTAAAGGCTCCCACCGGCAGCCCCCTCTCTCCCCCTGCTCGTTTTGCCTCAGTTCTTCCCCATGTGGGACTCTATGGAGGGAGGGCCACCACACCCAGCTAATTTTTGTACAAAAGACCGACTGCATGTCTTATCACACTTGATTAAAACAAATTCCAGGTATCATTAAAACAGGTTTGAATTCCCTTCTACCCCCACCCTACTTATACCCCAGCCATACATAGCTTTAACACAAGGGAAAGAATCCCTCCTTCTCCAAACCAGCCAGGCTGGGGAAACTTAGAAGCAGTAGATACTCCATGAAGAGATCAAACCCAGCATGGGGTCACAATGCCTCGCAATGCTGGGCAGGTTTCCAGGGAGAGAGCACCAGCCGAGAAGTAAGAGAGGCACCGTGCTCACTGGGAAGTGAGCTGTTTGGTCACAGTATTTTAAACATATAAGACAGAACATCAAGATAATGCATGCCAAGGATACCATCCAGAAGCAAATCTTGTCGGCAGATAGTACTGTCAATAGTGAAGAAGAATGGTGTGTGTGAGAGAGAGGGCAGGGGAAGAGAGAGAGAAGGACTCCCAGCCAAGGTTCGGTTAAGTTGGAGGCATCAGTAAATTATGTTTTAACATAAACTTAAAACATCTCTTGGCCACGTGCAGTGGCTCACACCTGTAATACCAGCACATCGGGAGGCTGAGGTGGGCAGATCACTTGAGATCGGGAGTTCGAGACCAACCTGGGCAAAATGGTGAAACCCTGTCTCTACTAAAAATACAAAAATTAGCCAGGCGTGGTGACACACACCTGAAAGCCCAGCTACTTGGGTGGCTGAGGTGGGAGGATCACTTGAGCTCAGGATATTGAGGCTTCAATGAGCAGATTTCATGTCACTGCACTCCAGCCTGAGTGACAGAATAAGACTCTGTCTCAGAAAATAAATTTTAAAAAATAACCATCATCCTCAGCAAACTGACACAAGAACAGAAAGCCAAACACCTCATGTTCTCACTCATAGGTGGGTGTCGAACAATGAGAACACGTGGACTCAGGGAGAGGAGCATCACACACTGGGGGCAGTTGTGGGGGATAGGGGAGAGACAGCGGGGGGTGGGGAGGGAGGGGAGGGTGGGGAGGGATAACATGGGGAGAGATGCCAGATACAGTATGCACCTAAAGTAAAATAAATAAATTTTAAAAATTAAAAAATTAAAGATATCGAATTGAAAAAGTAATAATAATCTGTTATCTTACCATCTGGAATTACAAATTAAAGGTATGGTTCCTTCCCATGAGCTTCTAAGGCAACTAACCAATGAACATAAATATTTACACAATAATCTAGAGATTTCAGCACATAAGAAACATTTTATATATTATTCTTAAACATAAATTTGTTTATAAAATGTATTCACTTTTATGTCAATTTTCCAGCAAATTATTTTTATACAAAGATAACCAAATGGAAGACTGCAAAGAATGGTTAGCATTTCCTGCCTAATTTACATATGAAAAAGTCTAATAAAGTGCATATTACACATGCTCTGACTTCACCAGGAGACAGATTAGTACACTTTATAAAACACTGGTTAGTTTTTATTATAAACATAACAAGTACTCATTAAAGACAATTTGAGGCATATCTTAAAATTATAATAAATAAGGCTCTATTCATATTTTCATGTTCAGTTACAACCAATATTAAAATGTAGATGAATTTCTATAGTTTTATGCATAAATGTTTGCATCTCCTTCAATTTTCCTAAACAAAATATGTTTAATGGCTTGTCTCAGAGGACACTGATGGCAGAGACGGGCAGCTTCTTCTGTATCTCCAGCTGCTACATAGAAGAGATGTTACTGAAAAGTGATGACATGCCGTAGGGACCGCAGCATTCACGTGCCAAGGGATGAGGTTCAGGCTTACAGGACGTGGTGAAAGCAAAGATGCCACCTCCAGGTCTGGTCCAAATACACCTGCCACAGGATCCTCTCAGGGTGTCCCTTCTCTCCCTTTTCCCTGTTGGACATCAGCACCAGGCCAGCCACAAATGCCACGCATGGAAGCATCAGAGCCTCACTCGGTCTAAGCTCCCGGATCCCAGCTTCACGGAGCAAGCCCCTTGTCCTCATCCGCTTCAGGTGAGAC